ATAATTTGTGATAGTGAAAAACAAATACGCCTATGTTAATAAACACATATAAATCTTTGATTCCCAAAAATATATCCCTTACAGGAAAGCCTCGAACGAACTGTGACACGGAGGCTTGTGTACTAGTATGTGAATATGTGTGTGAATGTTTAGCATTCAATCTCATAATGAATAATCTCTAATACATTTTTATAATGTTTGCCCGCTTACGTAAAATCGCGCAATTTCCGCATTGGCTTTCCTTTTCCTCGTCTCATATTCTAATCGTATAGAACCCATAAACTATATGAAACAATAATTGTTCAATCAACATCTAAAGCGAATCAAGAGAATTATTTTTCATATATTAGTATTAGAAATATCCGCGCCATTGACTTTAATTGCAGTCCCTTGCATCCCATGAACGCTAAGAGTCTTGACACTACAACCGCAGATTCGGATACTTTCTTCGCTTGGATGCCAAAAGCTCATCCGTTGACAGGGAGCCGCAGGACCTACCGGCGTGGGAGAACCTCGGCCATAGGAAACTTGAGGTGTCAAAAAAGGGTATCCTGCGCGCGCTTTCTTCTGGTGTAAACTCCGCATGATTGGGTTACTGCACGACGTTCTCTGGGCCACAAAACACTCCACTCAAATTCCCACTGAGAAAATTTTTCGTTGAAAAAGTACGCATGAAAACAGGAATTTCCGTCTCCGAGAGCGCTAAGAAATTGTCAAATAAAATACATAAGACATACAAATCCTCTCTTGCAAAGAGATTTGTAAGTAACAGTATGATATGTTTCAGTTATGTGAAACTAGGAAGTTTACGTGAATAAATTTCTGAATGACATGAGTGAAAACTTCTAAATTTTAAAAATAAAAATAAATGCTGCTCGAAATCACACAAACAATGTTTTTCTTCAAAACTTCATTTAATTTATATGAATAGTCCAAAATAAAAAAGTGAAATGGAATTAAAATTTCAACCTCCTGCGCATTCTTCTTAGTTTTATTCCACTTCTTGAATTATTGAGCGCTAGTTTTATCAAGTACATTTTTTATCATTTATCAAGTACGAACAATATTGGCTTTGGTCAGAAATCGCTGTTGCTGAACCATAGCTGCTTTATTCGTAAACTAATAATGCGAACAAGTTAACGTACTTGTGCATCAATTCTAGTTAATAATTGCACAGACGTATTCTGAACCTATTAGGAACCTGTAATTCGAAACCAATATTTGGGAAACTTATCCCAAGTTTCTATCATTTAGCAGAGAATTGGCTTCCTTTGCAAAACGTAGTTTCAGCATGGCGTGCGTCAGCCTTAATTGTCATAATAGGACTCGCGTAATTTCACACTCATTTCCCAGAACCCGGGGAGAAAATTCGTTCCACGTTTCGAGGATGTTTGAAATAATATTGACTACGTTAACCCGATTATTTCTTAAATAACATTAAGAATTACAATTCTAAAAACAAGGCGTAATTAGAATGCAAAGTCTGACTTGTTCCCTTACCTCAGCTTGTCTTTCATGCTCGAGCATTTCAAAGAAACGGCGATAAAATTGAGGCGGGTGCATGTGGCTGGGAATTTTCACAAAGACTTTCCGGTAGCGAGTAAAACGCTAAGCGTTTCCGAACCGCTTTAGAAGGTCGGAGGACTTTATGGCCTATTCTTTATCAACGCTGGAATAAACAATTTATGCATCACCATCTTTTAGCAAGAAAGAGTGGATGGAGCCGTAAACCGCTCAGCACGTTAAACGGAGGGCCTCAGCAATATCGCTTCAGAAAGAACCACTATAAAGCCACGAAAGTAATTAGTTAAACTGCCTCAAAGTTTCTCAGGTGCGATAAGTTCTCCTTAGCAACTTGCTGAGCTGCAAAGCGTTACCTACCAGACTGAAGGCAACTTTTGCCGCCGTTTATCTACAAAACTTCGAACCACAGACGTTTTTCTGGTGAGGAAGTTTGGTTCAGGTAATGCTGGGGCTTCGTGATTACGGAATAATGTGGCGTCTTTACGATGCTTTACTGGCGAGATTACGAGGGAGTCCGGCGCCATCACTTCTCATTCATGCACGGAAAACTATTGGCGAGGTTTGTCACCTGAACAATCTTGCTCACGTATTTTGTAATCGCATTTAGACGTGAATAACGGTTTTATCTTAGCATCTTAGAACCATAATGGCAAATATAATTGATTTGAAAATTTTGGAGTGATAATAGAGACATTAGTTTTTTCAATATTGTGATGTAATGGAGTGGATGAATTAATTAAATGGTTTAGTTCTGTCACGAAAGCGTAAATTTCTACGACAATGAATGCCTTTCGCAAAACAAAAATAACTTTCGAATATAGATTTACGAATACTTAACGCCTCTTAGTGAAATTGGCCTAACCACAAATGTTTGTATATTTTCGAGTAACGTATTTATTTGTCCGGGATTTTCGAAAGTCATCCCAAAGTTGGGTTGAGTTTCGAGTTCATCCTTAGCTCTAGTAATTCCAGAGCAGATCGTAGGGCTTTGTTTGGTCCATTGTTAACGGAGGCTTCTAATCACCCTCCCGGGGGAAATTTTGCGCAAAGTAGCCGTTGGTGTCGAGCGCAGGCGCAGTTTATGGCAGCCGAGCGGCAGCCCCGAGAGTCTTGAACACGAGCATCTCTGCAGCGGCTGAAATTTCGAATGACTATGGCCTAGCAAATGAATTTCGCTCCTAAAACCACCCAATGAAGTCAGATTAGACCGCCGGGCAGCTGGTGCGCGGAGTGTGATAAGACTTTGTACAAGACACAATATCGCGGTTCAATTTATTTCAGTTGGTTGTTTGTCGCGATCGGCGCTGGAAATCCGTAAGGAAACGTTGTTGGCAGTCACAGGGTCTTGGCGTGATTCAGTAATCCACATTTAAGTATTTTTGGGAAATAAAGTGAATTTTAGTGGTTTGCGTAAATCTTTTGGAATAAATGGAAGATTGGAACGCGAAAAAGAGTGAAACGAATTCTTAGGGACATTGAAGCAGTTTACAAAAACAAGTTACGTTTAGAGTTGAATATGCTCAGTATTAGAAAAAATGAAATGTACAGTCATGAACTTCTCTTTAAAAAGAATCATCGTTGAAACTCCTTAGGGCGAGCATGAAATTTTTAATTTAGAGAAAAAAATTGCAAAACCTCACCATTTTGGAAATTACTGTGAGCAATGATCGCGAGAAACTACGGAAAAACTATTTTAGATGCAAGTAATACTTATAGGATGCTCCCTAAAATTAAATGAATCATAGTAGATCTAGATGAACAAATCTAATAGAGAGTAATGGAGAAAACAATAGATAATATTATCAATTACATTCCCTAGTTATATAATATCTATAGAACCTCTGATAATAGTCGGAGGTTCTGAAACAAACACAAACGTGATAGATTCTACAGAAAAATAATAATAAATGAAGTTTTTGAAAGGAACTCGACGACAAATCTTTGTCCATGTTTTCACTCCACATTGCCGGGGTTGACGACACAACTAATGCAGTTACGCAAGTTAACTCATGAATAGCGAAGTAATGAAGGCGCGGAATACCGACTCTCCAAGGAGACCTTGCTTGGTGTCGGCTCCCAACGCCGCCAGGACGACTGATTGGAACTTCGGTCGTCGGCGCTGGTGAGGGAATTCGCGCCAATGCGAACGAGGGGAGATTGCGCTGAACGGTGATTTTTTCTGCAGCTACGCGAGGGGTGATTAATAATTTCGAATTTTATGTACTGAAACGGGGATCTTTTCCGCAACTACTCGAGCAGTGATTTATTTTGTCGTAAAATTTCTGTATTGAACCGACGAACCTTTTCTGCAGATACTAGAACGGTGATTCATGTTGTTGCAAATGAACTGGCCAAACTTAGTATGGAGCGAATACTTTCATTACTCAATATGTGTTACTCAGTTTCAAGGTATATATGTCTTGGTTAAACATAGAAAACCTACGATTCATTTAACGTGAAATTTCACAAAGTTCATGCTAGCCTCATTTTCGTCAGTAACAAAGCCGATTAATTTTTATCTTTTTCTCTCTTAGACTTCTAGTTAATTTTTATATCTGTATAAATCTTATCTATTACTGAAATTCTATCTTAATTACCTTGTCAAATGACAAAATAGAAAACATGAGTCGAATGTCATTTAAAATTAATCAATCATCACAACCCCCCAAACTTTTTGAAGAAGCTTCCGAAAGGTCATAAATATTATTCAGTCAAATGATTGTATTTGGACTAACTCGCCCGTTCGATAAATCAAGTTCTGAGCCATCTTTGGTCCGTGCAACTTCTTGACGAGTGCGACAAGCGCCATAATCCAATGATGGAGCGGCTCCAATCGAGGACTTCAGCTGGCCAAACTTCCTTAATATCCAAAGTTAAGTTTCAATCACACTGACGACACATCGGCCACCACACCACTGACGTCTGTTGGCCGCTTGTTGAAATACGACACGGAAATACACCAGCAGCCTCGGTTATCAGCGAACTTTGTCATTCATAGAACAGGCGGAAAGAAGGGAATTATGGTCGAGTGAGGGAGGATGAGCGCGTAGTTCGTTATAAATTCATTACTTATTCAGTCTCCTAATCCTGAGCTTCAGTAATAGATAGATCGACTTTGTGAATGTTACTGTACATGCTGCCTTTATGTGAAAGTCTTCAGCTTAGAACTGTATAACGGTGAAATTTTGTTTTCAACTTCTAACTTCAACACGATTATTTGCAATAATATAAATAAAAATAATAGTAAATCACGATTAGGGAACTTAGGAAGATTTGTTCCAACATTCGTGCTTCCGAAAACTGAGCTGCGTTTTTTTATATCTGGACGTTTGTTACAAGAATTTAAATGCAACTTCAAGAAAGAAGGTTTTCACGGTCTCAAGAATTTTGAAAGGTTTTGTGTTGGGATGGAGATCCTCTGAAGTCACGTTGGACTGTACGCCGCGAGTGTATAAGGAGAAAAACAAAGACATTCAAATGAGCACGTAAGACTTGTATATGTATTAAAATATTAGAAAAGTATGTAAATTTACAAATATCACAGAACAAAAATAAAATATAACACATTACCTTAAAATTCATGGGAACTTGTCTATATGAACTTTGATGCGGAAAACGGATCGGATTAACATGGTTGGCAATTGGTTGCTAAAAACGGACGAACTTCGCGCACTCAAGCCAAGCGTCAACCAAGCGGGAATCACAGACAAAAACTTGGTTGATATTTCCCTACATGGACACATCCCACAAATACAATTCAGTAGATAAAATTCCTTACAGAAACAATGGACATTGGCGTGGCATTAAATGACGTATTACAATTTACATAGGTACTTCAATTAAATTAATAAAGTAGCCGCTAAATTCTAGCCCAACGCATGAAATGCGCGACTTGGACATAATATTTGCCAAAATCAAGGATGAGAACTTGTCCGTCCTGGGAACAAAATTCTTCATAAAAGTACGTCTACTGGACTTAAATAACTTTCCTGGGAATCTATCATGAAATCATTAATTTTGAATTTCACTAAATCAGCATCGGCTAATTTTTGGCATATCTAAAAGAAGTGCGTGAGTGAGGAGATTAATATGGATGTCAAAGAAAAATATATCCAAGTAGAACAAGAACAAGTAGAAGGATGAACTTATTATACAAATTATTCATCACTCACAGATGACTGGGATGAACTGCGAACAGCTATACGAATACCTATGTTCAAAAGATCAATGTAAAAGTCAGGTCACACAACTAATGCCTCTTTAAGTAATATTTATAATTCTCCAATGGATATAAAAAATAAAATGATAATTTCCGGAAATGAACGTTTTTTTTATTTTCACTTGTCATATCTTAATATCATTCGTAAATATGGCCCATAAAAACCTAACAACTACAAATTTTCAAGAACTACGTAAATTACAGAAGGAACCCAAGAAAAAATGTTCAAAAAGAATTAAGTCTGAACTAATACAAATAATTCCATCAAGCGCCAATTTGTAAAAAATAAATATTTGAAAAAACGGCACGGTGGACATTCTAGAATTCAAGAACAATCTTCCTATTTCACCGTTCAATATTTCTCACAAAAATAGCTTTTTCCGCGAAAAAAAATCCAATTGCTGAATACTTGAATGAAATACACAGATAACATTGTAATGCAACGATCACTTGTAGACACAAATCGTGAACTTACTTAGGGCACGAAACTGAGATCAAAAATCAAGCGAGAGTTTGAAAAATTTCTCAAGCAAATGGGCATAAGGCCGATCAATTGGACGGGTAAAAAATACTACCAAGAGCTGATATCCATGGAAAACAAAGCCAGGAAAATAAGATGTCAAAAAAAAAAGATTTGAAGTTCCGTGATCATCAGTTTCATAAATGACGATCGTTTAGTTGAAGCTAAAAGTTTAAGGTTATATTAGAAAGCCGGATGAGAACCTCTCACCGAAAGTAGTCACATACGAATATTTTTTACAGTGTGATCGAAAATCACAGAACCACGTTCTGTGAATTAGATGGTCACCTGCAGAAAATATAAAAAATTTTGGAAGTATCCAACAAGCAAACTAGTGACTAGCAACAACAACAGCAATACACAACCCTCAAATAACGTCGAACGTAACATACTAGAGTAAAGAAAAACGTTTCAAGACAAACATTAAAATTCAAACCACAAATATTCTCACCATTTTCGGTCCAACGCAATATATCTGATAAATTTATCAAATTGCGTGGGCTGGCAACGAAACAGTGAAGTCAAAAAGTTATGAAAGTATATCCGCTAAAACAAAAAAAAAATAACTTCCCCGCAGAAAAAAAATTACCGCAGACGGAAAATGACGAAGACGAAAACAATTTATTTCAAATTTGCCAGATAATGTTGAATAAATAGTTACTTCGTAACCATTTTTTAACCTTGAAAGGAGAACGCGAATTTTAAATAATGTAAAAATTTCAAATGAAGCCCAAATAAATGATACGGTTCCCACAAGAAAACGTAAGGCTCGCAAACAAATGGTACAAGTATTTACTAAGAAAATGTGCAATTTGAGAATATACATACACTCCTATTTTCGGTCTCGCAAGAGTCAACTACAGCCTAGTGATATGTTGACTATAGGTTTTCTTTTAGTAATCAGTACATGACAGAATTAAATTTTAAAATACCATGATTTCCAACACTAACATGGAGCTACATTCAACACTTTGACATTGCAATTTGATTAACACTGAGTGAGCAGAAAGAGTAGATAGAACACTTAATCAAGAATTTTCGTTCTTATGTTCACCTATAATCAAGTGTCACCACAATGATCATAAAGCACATCCTCCTCGTATTCTTCAGAAACTTCATCGACATGACCACGCCGCTTCTTTTTAGGGGTCGATTTCCTAGAATTATTTGAAGATTTTAAAAATCCTGCTCGAGAAGATCGAACAATTTCTGGTTCCATCTCGTCTAGAGAACAGTTGTCAGATGCATCGATTTGTACGGCGCCATCACTCACTAAATTATTGTTTGCTACGTTAGGGTCATCCATACCTCGTCTTCCGCATTCATTCCCATTTTGACGAAGACTCACACGAGAATTGTCAACAGTCGAGACATTTTTCAGGTCATCACAACTTTTAAAATTTCTAGAACTATCACTAGCAGTAGAATCGCCACTATTGTTATTCGCCGATCTTCTACACGTATTCGATCTATTCGCGAAGCCTGCCTCGTTATTCTGGGCATAAATTCTGTACCTGTCGGCTCTAGACGGCAGTGGAGGCAAGTCTCTACGCATGGTATTATTAAGAGGAGTTGATAAAGGAAGCGTGGATGACGACGTGCCAGAGGAATTGAGGCTACTAGACTCGGTCACGGCGGCTCCGTCATTAGAACTCGAGGGATGAGACGAACCGGAAGAGTCACTCACGCCCATCCCATGCAGAGAGTCTTCAGGAAGGCGATGCCTCTGGCCAGGCAAAACATTAAGGTTATAAGCGTCTAATGCTGTCTGGTATTCATTTTGATTGGGTAAAGATGCTTGTGTCGAAAAGCATGTTGTCGCGATTAGGTCGAGATCGGAGTGAGGGCTCGTATTATAAAGAGAGTCGATTGGATCAGAGTTGGTAGGCGTAATATCCTTGGACCTCGCCATATCGTACATAGATTTAGCCAACTTTGCATTAGGCATAAGGGTGGATGAATTCAGCGGCAAAGGTAAATGATTGGAGTGCTGGAGATAATATTGTTGGGGAAACTCATGAACATGCGTTTGATGTGCGTGCACCATTAATGGATGGAACTGAATTACACCAGGGCCATGTTGAGGCGAGTACTGCCTCATAGGGCACCCATGGTGAACAGCGACGTTCTTTGCCCCATATTCAAGTGGATGCGCCATAGTATTATGTACAAACGGAACATTTTTGTTGTCGCGCTTATTATTGGAATGCTTCGTGGGCTTTGCTAGATAGGGAGCATCAACATACGGAGCTGGCACGTTGCCCCAATGCACCATGGAGCAATTGGAAGCCGTATGATCACCGCTGGGTCTTATGAGCGTTGCAGCTTCGTACAAGTGGCTGCCGGGAGAATAAATTTGTGCCAGCGGAACCATATTGTCGGAATGTTTGTTGGCAGCAGGATTGTGTTGCTGATTGTCTAGACAATGATTGATAGAATAAACAGAGGATGGCAGCAGCGAAGCGACATGATGGCCTCCGCCGTTGACATGTTTGTGCCGAGTCCCACTGCAGTGGCCGGAGGGGAAGCCAGGTAACATGGACACGATGGGAGGTCCGTTCAAGTTGACGCCGCGCACAAACCGACCGCTGGGGTTCTGCGAGTGGGCAGGAGTTGGGGAGGAGGTTGGGGTGCCCGTTGCGCTGCTGTTGTAGCTGTGGGCAGAGGACGAGCAGCAAACCTCGTCTTCCTCGTTGTGAATGAGATGAAGGTTTTGAGGGAGAAGAGCGTTGCTAGGCGCCTCGCCGGTGCTGAAGCTGAAAGTTTCGCTCCCTGATGACAGAAATAATATTTACGTGAGTACTAACTTATGATGAAACATAGTTTACAGAGATTAATGGGCTTTAAATTTTACAGGTTCAAAAGCAGCGCGAGTTTCTTGAAATATCTTAGTGTATTGCAATTTCTTATAACAGGAACATTTTCTTCCATAACCCGCATGAAACCAAGTTTAATACCGTAAGCTAGGGCAGTAATTACGCTTAAGGACAGATGGGGCTAAGCTCCTGAGATTTATGATCATATTCAACTAATTCAAGTTAATAATGACGGGTTATATCATTATTTATATTAATTCATATTCAGGTTATGTTGTATTGAATTAACCGGCATTTTTAAATATATATAGGGAGGCTTAAGCTCTATTTTAATTGGGTCTAATGACGCCAATGCCGTAAGCTTCATTTGAAATTTTTTCATAGAATAAAATTTCAGTCTGTTTTGAATCATTTCCCGCTTAAATATAAGCAACCAATATTGCTATGGAAATTTAGCCTAAAAATTCACAATTTGTGCGAACGGACCTGATGAAATATGATGATAAAGATGATCTGACGGGGTTTCAGTCCGTGGTTCCGGAGAATACACGTGCGTCTGGTTATCAGGAAGCTGCGGAAGTGCTCCCATGTGATGGCCGAAGCCATCGTTCTTAATCCGCAACGCTTGAGGACAATTATTGTGCGCCATGTGAAGAGGTCCCGGAAGCAGGGGCGGTGCAACAGGCAAATCTTCGTAAAGATCTGCAGCGTCGAGGTCACAGCTCGCTTTTTTGGAGGCAGCTTTGTAGGACCGCCACATTCTGCTGGAGAAACCAAGCACAAAAATCGTTGAGATAGGCTTATCCTGTTAACATGAAGCGCGCAACGAATGACATCACCGAGCCAATCACGGAAAATATGCAAACCGTTTTTATAAAGGTTTTGATGCCTCAGGTGGTCTATTATTGTTGCCTGGAGGAAATTCACAGTAACAAAGTGCAATATACTTTGTTGAAACGCTGGGGGAATTAGCAATTGAAATAACATCGAAAATAAAGGAGAAATTTGAAAATTATCAATTATGGAAATGATCAAATATTTCTTAGCACAAACATATGCCCATGAAAGATATAAGTAAAAATTTAATTTATACTGCGCATGGCAGTGCAGGAATAAAAATGTTATGCGGCTAATGGATCCTAAGTGAAGTTTTTCTTGGAAGTTTGAAAATTGACAGAGCACTGGATGCTAAACAGCTTAGTATTTGCGTTAACGTCCCATATTTCTTATAAAATCCAGTTACCTTAATCAGAAATTTTACAATCATTTCATTGTTGGAACGTTGAAAATTCTTTACAGAAAATTTTCTTCCATAATAACTGATCAGTGCACGTTCGTAATAAGTTTAGCCAACAATTCAGCGAAGCAATAATACGAAAGTGCAGAAGAACGGCGAGGGAGAAATCAAGCCCAGGTAGAAATTTTCAAACTCCTTGACACTCCTCATGCACGCCACGAACACTTCGCTAAAAAGCCACGATGGCTGACCCATGCAATGATGTCATTCATTCTGACAACGTTTTCTTGTAATCTTCAGCAATTTATACTTGAAATATGTGGTTTAAAACCGGTTTGAAGACCTGAATAAAACTGGTTTGAAAATTCGGTCAGCAGAAAAAATAGCAGTAATAAAATTTCTTCAGCCGTGAGGTAATAAAGAGTCTGATGTCAAGTTGAATCGAAATATGAAACTGTGCATGAGTCTTCTCTTCACGGGAGCTCCATCTTATAAATGCCGTTTGAATGAGCAACAGACACGAAATGGGAGACTTCTATGCAAGGAGGGAATTTTGTGTAAGCGAAGGCTACGCTATAATTAAAGATCAACGACTTCTCGTGCAATGATGGATGAATAATTAAAGAACCCATCAAACGCAACAACAAGGAAGACTGGCAAAAAAATCTGTGTATAAAGACATCGGATGATTAAGAATTATTGGCATCAGATACATGGCCAAAAATGTTCATAGAGCCGATCAAAATACATCGAACTAAGGTTCAACGCCAATAGATTTGGAGAAACATTGAACTATAGCCGTAAAGCTGGAGACGAGTCCCGTGGGAGAGCCTAGGTGCATACTAAGCGCAGCGGCGCGCGGTCATCTCCGGAGTGACAACCACCCGAAGTTAGGAGAATGTGCCTCGGGGCGTCGGCGTGTGGCCCAATGTGCGTCTGTCATCCCCTTTTGTTTCTCGGCATTGCTTTCATCGAAGCCTAGAAATCATGGTCTAAGCTGCGACCGCTCAAAACAAAAGGAACAAAAAGCGCGGACCAGGAACAATGCAGGTCGGTGGTAGACAACCATGAGAGATGAGCATTAACATTTTCAAAGCTGACACTGAGAAGAATCGCATATTCATCGTGGACGGCAGGTATACCACTGATCACCTATAAACAATCACATACAGCGCCCTGGATTCATGCATGTAAGCCTATATCACGTTTTCCGAGGTTTTGGTTGAAACCTATCGGAAACTAATCTTTGTTTCAGATCACGTTAGACTTTGTGAATTATCTAAGCTTATTAGATTCCTTTTTCTAACACCATAACTAATTATCTCTAGCTTAATATAAGACGAAAAAAATTTCACTTTGAGATCACTTCGCTTAGTGACAAATCGTAGAAACATAAAATGCGGATCGGAATGTTCAAAAGCCTATACAGGTAGGCGTCCGAACGTTCATCGCCATAAAAACAATTATGAACGGTGCAGGTAAGAAGTCGGTGATGAAAGGATCCTTAGGCACGAGCGACAAACCAAAACAACAGAAGTTCATGGCATTCATCCTAGGCACGCACTGACGAAACAACAAGCATATCCCACGCGACAGAGAACAGCACCAGGAGTTCGCAGGTCTTTGAATGAGTTAAGTGCGACAGTGATTTGCTTTGAACAAAGCGGCCACGAGCACAAACACATGATAAATATTTGCCCGCACAAAATTCGGTTCCACAAATCTTACACTCGGATTTCTGGGAGTGTGTTTTCTCTGAAGATTGGGTACTTGGGTAAGATAATCTAAAAACCGTATAGAAGAATATATTTAATAATAAGCAGGAAAATAGGACACTTCCTCTCGTGACAGCACATGAATCCAAAAACTTAAGAACTAACAACTAATCTCCAGCCACTGATTGAATAATAATTGAAGAAGCAAAATATTTGTTACATCTTACATGACAAGCAATGAGATAAGTCCAGTTGAGATTCTCAAAGCATAACTTCCGCAGCTGATTAAAATATCACCGCCATACGCAGATAACATTGACATGCGTTCATGAAATCCTGGATACATTTTATAAAATCAGTGTCACGAAGATGTTACAAATATTAAGTTTTCGAAGCGAATCCTAAATTATAAAAAATATTCTACATACAGAATCTTTACAACCAATGAAAGCAGACTGTAAGCAACGATATTCAAAATAACTTATCACAAATCTCGCTCACCTGACGAATATGACCGCGGCTATGAAGAAGAAGAGCCCCAGCACCGATGCGCTGATGATTATAGCAGGCATGGACACTTCCGGTGACGCACGAGGCAGACTTCCATCTTGCGAGGATCCAAAGCTGGTGCCGGCTTCGAGGGCCAGCGCCGGACACGTCCAAGGCCCGTTGCAGTCATCCGCGAGACTGTGTTCCAGAGGACCGTTGATGCCGGGGGGTTTAGGAGGCGGCGGAAGGTGGAACAGAGGCGGAGGTTCTGGTGGTCCGCCGCTGTAGCAGTCGCAATCCCAGGACGGTGGGCCCGGGAGAAAATCGTCGGTGGCCATGGTCTTAGCCTCCTGTCGGGGCAAAAAGTGATTAAAGTTATTAAAGAATCGAAAATGTTTTATGCACTAGAAGAGGGAGCTCATCGAGTTTAATTATTAGATCACTTTCGAAAAAAAATAATGAAAGATAAACGCAGGAAATGTTGAAGTTACGCCGATAAGGAATTTCTAACCTTCAATGACTCCAATTATTGGAAATATAAATTATTCTAAATCAAATCGTTTCTTTTTTGCAGTTTATATTCGACTTTCAAACATTCAGAGCCAATTTCTTGAAAGGCGATTTCAAGTAATTTTCAGCGGGTCAGATTAGTTTTAGAAAAAGATGATCATATCGAGAAAAATCTAAAACAAGCGGGAAGCTCCAACGTGTAGTGATCTAATTATCCCGTAACTCCGTATCGTGGATACATGAAAGCTTATCGCCCGCAATGGTGCCAGGATCGAGCGTTGCTAACGCATAGGACAAAAACCATTCAAGTTAATTCGTTTACAAATATGATGTAACTCAAAAATTTACTTTGCTGGTTCCCAATAGGAGTACATTTCCAAGCAACTTTTGGCACTCGCAGGCATGAAATGGTTGGCTAGTGCAAAAATACATCATAAGAACAAAAAAAATTTTCTTGTTCTCTTATTTTCCCAATTTCCAGCCGCCAAAGAAAAAAAGAACCTACTACTTTCGACAGTTTGGCCAAGCATTAGCTATTAGGTCTTGCCAGATATTGTCGAATTTATAATTAAGTAGGTTATCATTACCCGCTAATGGGAAGAAAACTGTCAAGTTGAATAATTTTGTACAAATCACCAATACGCAATGAAATTTATATCTTTAAAACTTAGAAAAGTCCTAAATTCAGAAACAGATCACCTGCAATTCGACTGAGTTTTTCACTTCAGCTACAATGTATAAGTTGTATTATTGCGAAGCTGCGAAACATGATGCATTATTACGGAGCCACGCTACAAGATGCATTACTGCGGGATTACGATACAATATGCAGGTATTATTGCGGAGCTGCGATATATGTATTATCGTGCAGATACGATTATTGTATTATTGTATGTACATGTATTATTGCAAATTGTTTGCTGACTTGACTATCCTATGCCTGTACTATTCGCGTGGACGACACTCCCTCTCACCAAGAACACGTCCTCCCAACAATTAACCGCTAAAAGCTACATCATTTGGTTCTTAGTTGCGCCATTACTTTGGGCGTGAACCAATAAAAGGAGTTTTATAGCTGGAGTCCAAGCGTTTGCATTGATTTTACATGTAAAACGTTTTCTAATTAAAACTACGCGGCAGCAAAAAATATCTCTCCAACATGGAGCATCAGTAATTGCGAGGGCGACTGTTGACTAAACGGCTGGCAGAAAGTGCGTGACAAATATTTCGCTCAGATGAAATTTTCGCATCTTCGGAAACAACAAAAAATTTCTGGCGTAGCGCGAAGAGCTATGAAAAGAAGCCCATAATTGCATCAGAAAAAGTTACAGCTTTGCACGGCGCGGCTTCGAAAAAAAGCAGCTGACGCAATAAAAACGTCGTAAGTATTAAGGTCATGATGCATTCAACTCCAATGGGAAGATGAGTCGTTCCCATGCTTCGAAATTATACTATTTTAATTTAGATAACTTCGATAATTATCAATAATCATGTAGATAACCTAGAGATACACAGGGCGAATCAAGTAATGTTCAAATTTTACGTTCTGTCCTAGTTCGACCAGATGTTGCGCATTGTTTCACTCTACGTTCGTATCTCTTACAACACAGCCTCATGATCAACAGGTGTCAACTGCTGCTCTAGTCAGAAATTACAAGTAAAAAACAAGCCTTCCACATTTGTTAACTATATTAGTGTTCAGAAAAAATTAAAGATTGGAACAGTTGTTGACAGAAAAAACTATCGTTATCGATAAATATAATTTTCGTGTTCAAGAGAGTCAGAGACCACACTACACGTAGAACGAAAATGAAGCATTCAATTTCACTTACTTTTTCGATAATTTGTGCACGTTTCATCAGTCCGAGAAACAATTGTATGTACATTAAAACCAAGTAATCCGTAAGATACAAGTTTAATCGCGGGCACGAACAAATAAAAGTAACTGAGTAGATGCACTTAATACATGTAACTCAGTAAATGGTCGTCAGCCACGATCATCATTCCTCAGCAGGTTAAACCACAACATGATAAAAATCACAGCTCAGATGACAATTACAGCGAAGACTACCATTAAATCTGGAGGAGCCAGGACGTTTCAAATTACACCCTTGCTATCCACAGGTTACGACAACATCCACCGCCAACAAGCACTACCAAGATAAGAGCCGAAATCGGGTTTGAATATAAATTGAGACATCTTAGGCCTAACTCGAAGACATGGCTGCTGCCTCCTGTTCAGTGGCTCACAAGACTTGCTCCGAGTCCAAGATCTGCTCTAAGAGCCGGTGGTATGTAACGACTTCGTACGCAGAGCAGAGAACAAAAGCTCCCACGAGCCTGTGGTGTCAAACCACAAGGTAGGTGGGCGCAGCATACCGCTTTTGATACTTAAACTTCGCGCAGGCTGGCACGAGAAGACATGCGTCGCTGATCACAGCTAAAATATCGGTGCCTCAAACTTAACTGATCAGGCTTGTTCGTCTTAATTAGTTAGATAACTATTTATTCAAGATTAATGCATACATAATTTTTACAGAAGTCTTTTGGCCGACTAAAAAACAAAACCTATATACATGCATATTATTGCGTTTGTCATATGCATATTTATAATATGCCATTGCGAACATCAGTTGCAACGAATTCACATACATTTTTTAATGCCATATTCATATTCAAGTCGACCGGATTAAAGTTTAATTCAAGACTGTACATCAATGCTGCCACAGCCTGACATCATCAAAAATACTTGAAAAATAAGAGTATAAAAATGCAAGCTGCAATCAGAGTCTGGATTAACCACAAACCTGTGTTAAGACTCTCAAACTCAGACAAAAGAAAGAGAAGAAAATGTGCACACAGCACCAGCACAAAGATGATGACTGTTCACTCTACAGTGTACAGCAATAACAAAGCATTTCTGCTTATACTTACTGAAGCCTCTATAGCGCGTGTAATGCATCTTGATTACGGTTTAAGAAAAGTTTTTATTGTGTGCAAGCGCACAATAAAAAGTTATTTTATGTTAGATTCTCATGACATTTTCTTTGCACATTTTCTCTTCGACTTTTTTCACAGAGACAGTCCCTTATCATTAATATTTTTTTATTCGACATGAATATCTGATGATAAAATGTCAGGTCATGAAACATATTGACCACAAAAAGATAACGAAAGAATTTAAAACAACATGGCACAAAAATTCTACATTTAACATCTAGTAAGCCTAAAGGGACACAACATTTCGACGCTAAAACCTACGCTCGTTATCTGGTCCGTTGCAATTTACCCACAAAAGAATGCGGGACCCTCCGTGAAAACAAATTTTAATTGGAATGGCATACAATTGGAATAGTAAACATGAGGCTCATGAATGTTGACTCGGTTACGAGGATGCTGGCTTATTCACAAGCCTGGGTGGCCCACAACTAAAGTGCCCTTGAACGTCGCCAGCGCCGGGCCACGATTTGAAGGTCGCAGTGCGCCCAGGTGAGAAAACAACTGCTCGTCATAATCATGTTCTCCGACACTTTCAAGTAATTTAATACATTGTTGCTATCATTGAATCCCTATTTATACACACATTCATTCCCTGAATAAATGAACAGCTAAGTAAATATGGCAGCAAATATCATTAATCTATGTTTGGACCTCAGCAGAAAGTTCTGAGCAATTGTAAAAGCTTACGTGAAGAGTCAACAAGTTATAATCATAGATAAACAATACGGGATAACAATGCCTTCGGTCTGTGTCGTATATCGTTACTATATGCAGGCAATCTATTCGTTTACTATATGCAGGCATCATCGTTACTATATGCAGGCAATCTATTCGGTTAATACAGAGTATTATTTTATTTTTATTATTTATTCACCATTTACGGCTGAATGACAAAAAGGAATTAAGGCCCATGCAGAATAACCTGGATCAAGTGGAGAAATCTGCTCTAGTCATAAGGGAATTAGTGGACGTTTAGATAACGAAGATCCTATGTGATTACGTACTGAATTATGGTGCGGCACGTAGTGATACAAACATACAGCATGCGTGATGACACGCAGGCACAGAATTCTGTATATGACCGGTACAGCATTCTATATATAACAGGTTACAGCATTCTATAGATGGCGGTTGCGTTCGAGTATAACGCGCGGCATTACACTGCATTTTATAGCGGTTGCATACGAGTATACAGTAATATGCGGCCGCTACTGCATTCCATCGAGGTTGCTATGAATTATAGACCGTGCATATATAGCCAACATTGGGCATAAGCAAATATCTATAGTGACTTAATCATTTCTAATCGTGAACTAATAATTTCACCATTGTGTTCGAAAGGATTTTATACAAATTCAGAAACTTTTCTTACAGTGAGATTAATTTCCGACACTACAAAATTCTGCAAGTTGAATGATAAAACCGGTTAGACCAAAGTCAATTATGAATTAATTATCTACATAATTAAATAAAAATGTATATTTTAATCAAATTATGTTCAATTATAGTCCTAGTAAACATAAAGTTCGGCTGCGTGGCGATGCTATGAGCCTAGGCACTCCAGTCACTCAGAAAAATGATTGATATTTTGTACAAAAACCGATGCACTTCTGTCTTTGTGTCATCCTGACCCTGCTTGACCCGGCACAAGGGCGTATCAACGCTACGTCCGCTTTCTGGTCGAGCTGTATGAAGAAACTGTGTCAATATTAGGACAATAAGACACGCTGAGTTTTCTTAGTGAACATTGCAGGTCAGCCCGCAGCTGCAGACGAGGTGAGTGCGGCAAGCAGACCAGGGCCATGCAGCCCTGCAGACCAGAGCCATGCAGTCCTGCAGA